TTCCCAAACCAGAAAGTTACACAGCAAGCACAAAAGAAAACAACGTTTGCACTGATGTTGGTGTTATCGCTCTCTCTGCCTTTAGCGTACTACGACCAGCAGACAAAGATAAGCTTTGTCAAGCAGACCTGGACAAAGTTACCTTATTAAATGTGATTTTAAGGGGGAAAAAGTGCAGCAGGAGGTGGGGGGAGGCTAAAGTAAGCAGACAAATAATTGGGGTGGGAAGGGGGACACCCACAAGACTCTTTGTACCAGCTTGAGGCTTTTGTATGAGTTAGGAAATATGTCTTTCAATCACCTTTCGCACTAATTAGCAACAAATCTATATTGGGGTTTAGCTGCAAATAAACGTACAGGCTGAATGGGCCAAGCTGTCACTATGGGAGAGCTCTGCTTTTCTCTCTCTCAAAGCAACAAAAAGACTTGATGCTTGGAAAAGTTGACCAAGTCCTATTAAGCGAGAGTGGAGCCAGGGCTCTTAATTAGAAATGTGGGAGGTCTGCTTGGCACATGTTCGCGGGACCCCTTGCTGACTAGGACAAAGGTCCCATGTCCGTTTCCTGAAGAGGAGTGAGAATGGGGACTGTGGAAAGTCTAATTAGGGAGGTAATTAAGAGACAAGTTTCTGTTGGAGTTCAGAATGTTTTGTAGCTGCTGCCCGTTTTGGACAAGTCTCTGGGTATCAAGTGTTGGTGCCATTGTTTCAAGGCAGAGTTTGCACTGTGGCAGAATTAACCATTGTGTGTGCAGTTGAAAAATGCTCGGTTAATGACCTATGCTTCGGGAAATGCCTGGCACCTACGCTCAAGGGCCTGTGAATGTTTGGAAGAGTGGTGGTTCCCCATTTCCAGTATTTGTGGTAGTGTATGTAGTTTTGGGCTTTGGAGAGGGCTGTGGGTCTGTATTCCCACAACCCTTTGTTCAGAGCCAGTTGGAACAGCAGCGTGCACAACAGAGCTCGAAAAAAGCACCAGCTTTGCCCAACAGTCTGTGGCCTTGTTTTATTATCCCATAAGATGCTAACATCCAAATGTGGGTGCTGTCATTTCAGTAGGTGCATGGAGGGGAGATTGCCAGGCAGGTATTATGGGTGGTGTTTGGGGAGCAGCAAGATGTTTTGAATACACTAATATACTAAGCACTGTGCTGAAATCAAGGCATACAAGGAAGAGGTGCATTGGAAAATATTAACTCGTGAATGTGAGTTTTGCATGTTCAGATAAGTGTAATAGCCTATAATGGCCTGGTGTTCATTGGTCTTGGGAACCTGCAGATCCTTTTGATTTTAATTGCAGATACAGGTGCTCAAATATGTATTTTGGGATGTAATGGCCCTCTGGTGAGAAATGTCGCCTAGTGTTTATATAAAAAGAGCCAAGATCTTGGACTCCTGACATGTGCTTTCAATTCCTCTGCTGGCTTTTCAAGTGACCATGGGTCAGTCCCTTCGGGTCTCTGCCTCAGTTTCACCACCTATGAAGTGTGGATACTGAGACCTACTGTACGTACTAGGGGAATAGCTTATGAGGCATAATTGATGCTCTGTGAGTTGTAGCTGGAAGTGTGAAACTGGTGGGGAAATCTATTAAAAGTTGTATAGAAAAGGAATCAAAATGTAATGTGCTGTATGGGAGGGGTATTATCGAAACCCATCTGCTAATCCGAACTGAGACGGATCCAGTGCTGGAAAGCAATTGCTTGTGACTGATTGTGTTTGTTGTTACTTTTCCTTTAACAAATAACTGTAGCAGTTACTGCTGTTTGAAGGAAAAGCCATTAGGGATAAGTGATTACCTCCTCTTGCCAAACCAAACAGTTGCTGCATTGATACTGGAGGCAGTAACTCTCAGGGATCACTCACCCAGCTGTCCAAGGACTTACCATTGCTCAGCTACCACCGGCTCGTTTCCAGTTTGGCCTTGTGTTTAACATGAAGGTAGATTGCCTTCCAAAGGGTATCTCCAGTGGACTTATGTACCCAGGTATTAAGGCGAAATAAAGAACAGCATGGGTTGCTAGCATCACTGAGCAGCAGGCTTGTGATTTTCTAAGTACGTTTGGTGATGCATGAGAGGGAGAAGTCTGTTACTGTTAATAATATATTTATCTGCATGGAGGCAGAATTTAAAAGTGCTAGGTGCTGTACAAAAAGGTAACAAAGAAGCTATCCCTGCTCCAAAAAGCTTGCAACATGAACAGAAGACAGTAGGTGGATGTCAATGAAGAGGACTACAAGGCAATGACGAGATGCCCAGCCCAGTGCTTCTCCATGACTTGCCTCCACGGCAGTGACAACAGCCTGCATTCGCATACCTGGTGCCACAGCTGTAGGTGAGGTTGTACATGCCCATTAACAAGGTTATATAACGGGCTCAGCATATAGTCATTGAAGCCTCCCTCCAGAGAGACAGCGGTGGAGCTCTCTTATTCTGTAGCAGATGCAGGCTTGGCTGTGACATCTGTCTGTGCTAATGGAGCCCCCTTTATAACTTCCTTAAGCAGATGCCTTTTCCCTGCTTCCCCTTTTCAAGGCTCATTTGATTTTGCACTTTGAAGTGCTTTACTCCCTCTGGGCGAGTCCTTCTCCATCATTGATAAAAGTCAAGGAGGACACACATTAGCCTCCTGAGCTATGCCTTACCCTAATGTCATCATGACAGATTGAAAGGCTTTTGTTAGTCTCAAGGGACTCTGCTGTCCTGTAATGAAGAAATAGGAGCCAGGGGTCAACAAGGGCAGAAAGTCCCTGGTCCTTAATAGAACAGGCCTTGAATTCCCCGATGGGTATTGGATACAAAGGCAAAGGAGGCAGAGTGCAGAATCTGTGTCAGGGAAATGCTGAGGCAAGGGGAATGATTCTCATTTACGCTGCTGTGTTAGAGGCTAAGGAAAACGTTACCAGTTCAAATTACACGGATGTACGCTGGCTCATGTGAACACTTTTATTCAACCCTCCAGCCTACAGGGCTCCCCATACATCTGGAAATTTGGCAGCAGAGTAGCAGCAATTAACACTGCCACTGCTCCCTGCCCCCAAATTTCCAGCCCCATTGGGAGACCCACAGGCTGCATAATATGCCCTTGCAGGCTGAATCTGGCCTGCAGGCCCCAAGTCGAGCATCGCTGAGTTTAACAGTTCCCCCAGGTGAGGCAATTTAGCTAGGAACAAAAGGCCAAAGACTGGAGAAGAGAACTCTTGCCATTCACATCTGAGGATGGTGAAGGTAAAATGGTCTTTAATCATGCTCAGATGCTGCAGTTGGGAGATTTATGGCAGCTCTTCTCTTTTTAGGTCCTACAGCTCTTCTTGGACAAGGCCTCTAAGTTGTTAGGAGGGGTGGACTAAATGCAGTGTGGGACTGACGATGGTAGTGAGGCCTCTTGTTCTGCGTCTCCAGAACAAAGCCAAGGTAGTGATTTCAATTTTTTACCACCTGATGGAGCTGAACTGAGTTTGCCACACTCAGTCGCTGAGGTCTAGAACATGACAGGGTCAGAAAAGTGGTGGGACACCTATAGACATTGCATGAATAACCACGTACCGTATAATGCTAATGTTGGAAGGCGTAAGAAATCTGATGTGTCAGGGGTTAAGCTCTCTCCACGGCCTTCTCTCCTCTCAGTTTTCCTTCTCAACTTTCTTATCCTCTTCTCTTGGCTATATCTGATTAGCTGGACTTGGTGTACAGTAAAAGTTTTAGTCTTGATGTTTGTGGGCTGGTATTGAGTCCCACCCCGTCAGTCCACACTCACAGTCATGGGGTATGGATCTAGCTCCTTTCAGTTACTTTCCTTTGTCATTTGTCCCAGTGCCCTGATCATTTGCTCTGGGCACCTTTGAACTGGCTACATCACGTCAACGAATTTCTGGTGATGTGGTGCCCAGATCTGAATGCAGCATCCCAGCTGTGGTTTCTCCAGAACCATCATCCTATGGTGGATAAAATCATATGATGGATGTAGCGTATAAACATCTCTCTCTAACGAATCCATCCACCCAATCTTATGGATGACATTGTCATCTTGCTACATGAAAGTCTGGATACAGATGTACATGGTGCATGAAGCTATTGTACGGGTTCTGTATGTGATGCATCTGTATGTGTGAGAAGCCTGCCTGCCTTCTTCCCTAGGAGACAGGGATATAAGGTTATAACCAAGCCTTTCTGGAGCAAACAGCACTTGCATTGTTTATATAGGGAAACCCATGTCAGGGAAAGGAGATCATGTGTCCTGGGGGGGGATGTCTCTCTTTAGGAGGAGTCTTGGTGCTGCCAGGTTCATCTGTCCTGTTGATTATGTTAGGAATGGCTGGAGACTGGAGCATTTTTTTTCACCAGCTACAAACTGTTGGAGCAGATTGTAATTTCCATGTCATATTTGTCTGAGCTCAGCTGAGTTAACACAAGACATCACAATCTGAATCCCAGTGGCCTCTTCGTTGAGCTGATGTCATTTACTGCCACCTTTATTCTGGCTCAACAAGCCTGAGGGATAATGGAATGAATTATCCTTAGCTTCCTTCGCAGGCACCGTGGTGGTGGCTGGGGTACTCAGGTGGGGACAGGGCGGGAGTGTGTTCGCAGGCGTATTAAGCTGTTATGCTTTGTGTGGAGCATATGCTGCTGAAAGCAAAACACGGTGTTTCTTTCCTCTGTTGTCGAAGCAGCGCTTGACCTCCTGCTTCAAGCGGCGATGGAGAGAACGTGCCCTCTCACTAGAGACCCCTTTGTTGCCCTGCATGTGTCAGCTGCCTGCTGGAAGGGAGCGTACCTGTCCTCCCAGCACTGCCCTATGGGGACTCGCTACTGAAGGAGCTATTCATCACTGCAACAATGCGTGCGCCAGAGGCAAGGCAGGAGGCCAGAGGAGTAGAGCACATCCCTGAAACATTTGCATAGCTTTCCCCTCATTGGCTTTGCTCTGAGTGATGCAGCTGCGCCTAAGATGAAGGCAGAGTGACGGCTGTCTCAATAACCAGTGTCTCAGGTATCCTTAGGCACGGTGGGGTTGAGTGCTGGGTTTTGGTTTTTTTTTTTAAAGGATTTCATAGGAAATCCAGGCTGAAGTTTGTTCTGCCCAGTCTGGCCAGCAGAAGTTGTGCTTTAAAGTAAGTAACTATAGCAGCTTATTGACTCTGTGGTTGGAGGGAGTCTGTTGCAGTCTAAAGAGCTCAGGAGGTGTATGAATGCTGGGGTGCAGGTGGGTTTGGAGGGGAGCATGTGTATGTGAGAGATTGAGATCCATTTTCTTGCTTGGACACGTTGAATACACTAATGTAACACTCATTTAAACTTAAAAAGCCCCATTGTTTTGGCATCAATACAGAAAAATGCTCTAATCTTTCTCTAGTTAGCAATTATCAACTCGGAGTCTGGTAAAATCAAGGGAGAAAGTGTTCAAATATGTGATCACAGGCCATGGGTATGTCACTACTGGAGGTGCACTCTGCAGCTCTCTGATGGCAGACAGTGTTGAAATCGGCAGTCGTTTTAAATAAGTGCGTTCCCTAGGCAAAAAGTTGGGTACATTTTATAGCATTGATAGTTCAAATTAAAGGAAATATTTCCTAACCTGAATGGAAACAAAAGGTAGAGCTGGTTGGGTGTGCAAAGTGGAAGGCATTAGGATACTGGGGCATTTTTTTAACTCTATTAGGTTATTAAAATAAGTGAGTGGCAGAAATAGAAGTTAAGGAACAAGTTGCATGGCCTGGGGGAGCCATGGAGGTAGATAACAAAACAGACCTGCACAAATGTGAACTGAAGAAAAACAGTTATTGAGGCTGAATGTCACAGAAAGTTCTCCGAAAGATAGGATAGATTTGTTTAAGTTTAGCGTATGTGGTAATGTATGCAATGCCACCTGGAATATAGGAATCTTTGGAGCACTGTCATAACAAAATTTGAACCTTAATAATAATAGAAAAATATGCATGGATTTAGTCTGTTGCAGTATCACCCCTGCACTCCCTGCCTGATTGCCTAGACATACGGAGAATAAATAAAGGAAAGGAGGGGGAAGAGGGAGTAAATATAAAAAGCCTTGTAAAAATAAAAAAAAAAGCAGTTGTAAAAGCTTGCCACAAAGCTGAGAAATCTCTCCAAGCGCTCGTCCTGTTAAATGTCCTATAGTAGAAGAGCGAGTGCTGTAATTTGTCTCTGTTGCATGTGTTCTAATGGCCCAGGCATGGACTATGAAAATCTCTTTGCAACGGGGAATAAATAATGAACTGAATCTTGAGAGGCATCAAGCCACTGTAAATCCTAGTGAAATCAGTGGGTGCTGAGGATCTGCAGCACCTCTGAAAATTTGTGTCTTAGTTACATGACTAAAAACCATTCCTCAACAAACACTGTTCCTGTGTATCTGTACTGGAGCATATAACAAGAAAGCTGGGGCAGGGTTTGAGCATAAAGGGGAGTTTAAATACAAAGATAGTTTCCTTTGCTATTGGATAGTTTCCTTTTCGGCAAGCAGAAAAATGTATACAACCAATTCCACAATTACTTTAGAGGGTGAGGAGCTAAATAACAGACTTCCTATTCAAGCATAATTCCCATCAAAGCAGGTAGAAACTTTGCCCGAGGTGGGTCCTGGGTCTCAGGGTGCCCTGATTCAGGAAAAGACATATGCTTAAATCCCTTGAAGTCAAAGGGATCTAAGCACATACTTAGCACTTAAACATGGATAGACAATTGGACATGCTACGTCATTTCCTGAATTATGGACATAGTATTTAAGATCCCGAAGTTCTAAGAATGTATTTTGGGGACCCTTACACGTACCAAACTCCCATTGACTTCATGAACAATAATCTGGTTTATCTTCTTGTGAATGAGACAGAATTTAGCCCACTGTACATGATTAAAAATGCCTCTGCCATAACCCTGACAGAACAATTGGTCTGTTTTATCCGTTATTAAGCAGAAGTTCCTGGATTTCTTTTGGATCTGTACCAAGATAATTGAAGGAGTTTTGCCTGAGAAACCTGCCAGTACTCACATTAAAGTTAACAGTATATGTGAATGAAGGCTGAGCAAATATATACAAGGGGAATTCCTGCAAACATAGCATAAGGATATTATTTCTACAGTAATTTATTATGTATGTTTTATCCTTTTAGGCCCCCAAATCATAATAAATTAAAATATTTTTAAAAATCACAATGAAACATAAGAAAAATCAGGCAGTATTATTTTGTTCAGAGATGAATTTCTGCAATATATTAAATTTTTTTTTAAATCCCCAAATCGCCATAATCTCCAGTAGTCCAAGCGTATAGCAAAAAGTAATCATGCAAATTCCAAAGCTGTGCTTATGCACGGCCTGTTTAGATAAAAGAGGGCTGTAGCATATATTCCCGGATCCCATTAAAAATGTGTCTGTAAAAGGATTTGGATTTTTGGAGATGATCCATAAAAAAGAGTGACTCGTATCCTGCAGCTGCGAGTGCAAAGTGCATTCTGGAAACGGCAGAGTGAAAAGGGCAGTGCAAATGATTTTTGTTCTGTCTCTCCAGTCCCTTGAAGATTCAGTGCTCACCAGATGGGCTGCCTCTCGGGCACAAGCTTCTTTGGGATTATGTCACGGAGGAAGACCAATGCAGACGTACGCTTCCCCCCCCGCAATAATCTTTGAATCTTCGGAAACGGAATTTGCTTAATGACCCAGCTGGAGCTGCGATCAGGCTTACTTTCTTTCAGAAACAATTATTGTTCGGGTACAGAGCGAGAGAACCTTGTGTGGCTGGATTTGTTTGCTCGACTTGTGCAGACTTGCGCAGAGTGTCTGTCACGTTGCATACGGCGGACACCTTCGCTGGGCATCAGGTGGGCAGGGCGATGGTTACACCCACGTTTTTGGAATGCTTTGGTAGAAGCCGATCCCGGCAGGGGAGGCAGCAGGAGCACCAGCAGCAGCCACGTCCCTCTCAAAGACCCCAGCACAATAGGAGGCATTGCCACAAGTGGTGTCACCACCTGATGAGGCCTTTGGAACCAGTCCGATGCTATCCAGAAGCTCAGCCCCGTGTGCATCGCTGTAGGTATCAAACTCCATCCTAAATGAGATTCCTGTGTGCTCTGATGGGTTAGAGTGCCAGCAAATGCACATTGTGACCACATTGTCTTTAGGCTTGGAAACCACAGCACTCTGTATAAGCGACAGAGAACGCACCCTTGCCTCTCATTGGTTTAAGGATTTATTTCATCCTTTAGGAAACAAAGCCTCCATGTGAATGTGTAACACAGCCCTGGGGAAGCTCCCAAGCTGCACAGCCATCAAGCTGCTGTATTTGGTCCCCATCTCACGTTCTCTTCAGTTTCCCCTCCACTGAATATTTTGCAGCATTGGTTGTTTCCTTAGCCTTTCTGGCACGTCTCTCAGAACCCCTTTATGGAAATGGGATGTCATAACCCAGTTGTTCTAGACTTTCAGGGCCCATTATGGCTCTTATTAGCTGAAACACATCTTTTCCCTATAGTCCAGCTGCGTGGGGATTTGTAGTTTCTCTCTCCAGGGACACGTGATAGTTGAGAAAACAGATGCTTGGCTGGGCATTTGTAAGTGTCCAGAAGACCAGTTGCTCTTTGATTTCTACAAGGAACGCACAGATCCTGACAGCACACTTGAACACTTGCCCCTGCCTCAGTTCCCTCAACGTTCTTAAGTATTCTTTTATCTAAGGTTAGAGTCCCCTAGTGACTCCAGCATCCACCTCCTGATCCTCCGAATCATGCTGTTTCTGACTCCCTTATAGTCAGTGTCCTTCCTCAGCCTGTCCTGAACTTAAAATGAACTTAATCCCATTGTACATACCAAGGAGTTTGAGATCTGTGCACCTAGTATTGAGCAAGAAGTCAATAGATCCCAGGCGTCCAAGCTCCCACTTCTCTACTTTACTCAGTAGATTGGGCCCTCGCCAGCTTTCTAAAACTTCCTTTCTTGCTTCCAGCTCTGACATGATGGCAGGACGGACTAAAAAGAGTCTATTAGACTATATAAGAGAGGCTCTGATCGCTCTTTGCTTTTTGTTACTCTAGTTGAAGACCAGACTGGAGACACGTGGAACCGTCTCACTGCTAAATACAGGTGCAGCAGCCATGTAGTGCTTGCCTTCTTTCTTAAAGGCTTGGCATATCGCTGAAAGATCAGAGCTTTAGTGGAAACATGCCCAATAGGCAGCACAGCTCTGTTTTGGCCTGTGTGTAAGAAGTGGCATTCAGCAGGTTAAAATTGTCTGCTCTCACAGCTGTCCTCTGTGGGAAAGTTCCCCCTGGAGGACTAGAGTGTAGAACATTGATGTGGGCCATTAATTCTTCATAATGGCTGTGAACTGATCGCGCTTATGTCTGGGATAAATTATTTACCTGATAATGAATGGGGAAACTGTGTTTGAGTCTAAATATTACACACGGGATTAAGAGTCCCATTCCATCTGATCAGAGCACAAGTCAGAGCCTCACGTTTATAGCTCCTGAAACAGCAGCTCATGTGCGCTGTAGGGAAATTTAAATCTTGGGATATGCTGAGATGCCAAAAGGTATCAGTTCCTCTCGATATTAATGCAAGGTAATCGCAGCAAAGAATGTGTTCGGGCAGTGTTGTAATTCTTAATAAATCATTGGCCGGACAAAGCTCAGACAGCAGGAAAAGAGGAGTGCTGCTTATGGAAAAATGCTGATTAACACACTATGAGGGGAAGAGTCCCATGGCTCAGAGCCATGGGACTCTTTAGCCTGGAAAAGCGCAGGCTGAAGGGTGATCTGGTGGCCACCTATAAGTTTATCAGGGGTGCTCATCAGGATCTGGGGGAACGTCTGATCACCAGAGTGCCCCAAGGGATGACAAAATCGAACAGTCAGAAACTCCACCGCAACCGATTCAGGCTGGACATAAGAAAGAACTTCTTTACTGTCCGAGCCCCCAAGGTTTGGAATAGACTGCCGCCAGAGGTGGTTCAAGCACCCACTTTGAGCGCCTTCAAGACACATTTGGATGCTTATCTTGCTGGGATCCGAGGATCCCTGCTGTCTTCCTGCCCCTGGGGCAGGGGGCTAGACTCGATGATCCTCCGGAGTCCCTTCCAGCCCAAATATCTATGAAATCTATGAGCCCAAAAGAGCTTGCCCCTGAGCCGGATGCTGGCTGATCCAAGCTAGGTGACAGCTCCAAAACCGCCCCAAAACAGTGCATAAATACGAATTTGAATATTAAGCAGATCTGTTCTGAGCTTTTGTTTT